CAATTCTTAATGGGAGTTCTAAAATATTTCCTTGAATTAACAGTTCTTGACATGATTTTAGTTATTTTTACCCTTTTTAACATGGCACTAAAAGCTCCCTATGGCAAGGGGGAATACGTTAAAAGTCTGTAGTTAATGCCTTCCCTGTTCCAAGATGCCTTCCTTAAAAGGTCCATTCCTTTTAGCACTTTCAAGACAGGTAACTATGTTCACCAGTGTTACTGCCTTTTTCTCCTTTGTAAACACTTGAGAAACATGTGAAATGGCATTTTATCATTTCTTCTCCCTCTTGCTTCCTTTTAAGTACTGTGATAGAAAAATTTTTCCCCCAGGAATACATTTGGATGTATTCATCCATTAAAACTGTATCTTTGCATACTGTGAAATATTTTTAAGCAACAACAAGGGGTTGTTTTAGTTTAGTATTTTGTTTATTTGTTTGTTTCTGGCCTCTTTTCAGCTTCTTTCCACATTTACTCATTTTCATAAAGTTGATGTGTATTTTTTCTTGAGTATATTGGGGTGACATTGGTTAATAAAATTATATATGTTTCAGGGATACAATTATATAATACATCATGTGCATATTGTTTTGTGTGTTCACCATTCCAAGCCCAGTTTCCTTTCATTACCATTTATCTCCCCTTTACCCTTTCCTACGTCCCACCCCACCCCCCCTTTCTATCTGGTAATCACCATATTGTTGTCTGTCTATGAGGTTTTTGTGGGTATTTTTTGCTTAATCCCGTCACCTTTTTCACCCAGGCTCCCTACCCCCGCCCCTCTGACAGCTGTCAGTGTGTAATCTGTATCTATGGGTCTATTTTGTTTGTTCATTTTGTTCATTAGATTCCATATATAAGTGAAATCATATGGTGCTTGTCTTTCTCTGACTGCCTTATTTCACTCAGCATAATACTCTGCAGGTCTATCAATGCTGTTGCAAAAGATAAGATTTCCTTCTTTTTCAGAGCCAAGTATTCCATTGCATAAATGTACCGCTGCTTTTTTCATCCACTCACCTACAGCTGGGCACTTGGGCTGCTTCCAGATCTTGGCTGCTGTAAATAACCCTGAAATGAAGATAAGGGTCCACATATTCTTTCGAATCAGTGTTTTGGGTTTCTTCATATATATTCCAAGTGTGGAATCAGTGGGTCTTCAGGTAGTTCCATTTTTAATTTTTTGAGATAATTCCATATTGCTTTCCACAGTGGCTGCACTAGTCTGCATTCCCACCAACATTGCATGATGGTTTCCTTTTCTCCACATCTACTCCAATAGGTGTTTGTAGATTTATTGATGGATCCATACTGACAGGTGTGAGGTGATATCTCCTTATGGTTTTAATTTGCATTTCTCTGATGATTAGTGACATGGAGCATCTTCATGTGTCTATTGGCCATCTGTCTGTCCTCTTTGGAGAAGTGTCTATTTAGGTCCTTTGCCCAATTTTTTTTTTTTTAAAGAAGAGTCTCTCCATTTTACTTTTTTTTTTTTTAATATGTTTTTATTGATTTCATAGAGAGGAAGGAAGAGGGAGAGAGAGATAGAAATATCAATGATGAAAGAGAGTCATCATCAGCCACCTCCTGGACTCCCACCACCAGGGATTGAGCCCGCAACCCGGGCATGTGGTCTGACCAGGAATCGAACCCAAATCTCTTGGATCCTAGGTTGATGCTCAACCTCTGAGCCATGCCGGCCAGGCTTTTGCCCATTTTTAAACTGGTTTGTTTGTTATTTTGGTGCTGAGTTGTATATAACCCATTGCCACATGTATCAACGAATATGTTCTCCCATCCAGTGGGTTGTCTTTTCATTTTGTTGATGGTTTCCTTCACTGTGCAAAAACTTTTTAGTTTGATGTAGGCACATTTGTTTATTTTTTCTTTTGTTTCCCTTGCCTGAGGCAATATATCAAAAACAATATTGTTACAAGAAATGTCCGAGATTTTACTGATTATTCTCTTCTAAAATTGTTATGGTTTCGACTCTAACATTTGTATTTAATTCATTTTGAGTTTATTATTGTGTATGATATAAGAAGATGGTCTAGTATCATTTTTTGCACATACCTGTTCAATCTTCCTAACAGCATTTATTGAATAGACTATCCTTACACCATTATATGTTCTTGCCTTCTCTGTAAAATATTAATTGACTATGAAGATGTGGATTTATTTCTGGGCTCTCTATTCAGTTCCATTGGTCTATATGTCTGTTTTTATGCCAGTATTGTGCTATTTTGATTACTATGGCCTTGTAGTATAGTTTGCCATCAGGTAGCATGGTTCCTGCAACTTTGTTTTCCTTTCTCAAGATTGCTGTGGCTATTTGGGGTATTTTGCAGTTCCATACAAATTTTTGGAATATTTGTTATAGTTCTGTGAAATACACCATTGGTATCTTGATA